CAAAATTTCCTTTGTTGTGCAGTTCACTGAGAATATGTTGTCATAGGGAACAATCTTGGATGCACAGCTGTTCACCTAGGAAAAGATAACCGTTATGCACCACAAATACATGGCGCTGTGCTGAAGTTACCTCCAAATAGATCATCCCAAAAGATGGATCAACTTCATACATGTCTACAAGCACATCAAATCCTGTCACTCAACTGCTCATGGTGGAGAGAAGAGTGTTGCATCGACTCAAGGCATTAGCGACACGATTGATATACTACCGCACTGGTGTTTGAGAGCAAAGGTGAACTCCTGTAAGTACGCCACCCACTTGGCATGTCACCTATTGATCTTGTGTTGGCCATTAATATACTTCAAAGCATCATGATCAGTGAAAAGAATGAACTCCTTCTAGATTAAATAATGATTCCAATGTTTGAGGGACTGAACAATGGCATAGAACTCGTAGAACTCCAGGTCATAAGTTGAATAGTTCTTCTGGGAACCTGAAAGCTTTTCACTAAAGAAGGCAACTGGACAACCGGTGTGACTAAGCACACCTCCAATACCAACACTAGATGCATCGTAGTTAACCTCAAAGACTTTTTCAAAATTAGGGAGGGGCAACACTGGTGCCTCTGTCATCTTCTGCTTAAATTTCTCAAAGCAGGTCTCTGCAGCCTCTGTCCACTAGAGGTCACGTCCCTTAAGGCACTCAATAAGGGGAACAATCAAAGTGGTTAAATTTCTGATGGATCTGTGATAGAAGGAATCCAGGCCATGAAAGCTACGAATGCCGTTCAACGTCCTTAGTCTTGGCCATTGCACAATGGCCTCAATCTTCTTAGGATCTGCATGCACACCATGAATAGAAACCACAAACCCTAGCAGCTGTACGGAGGTGGTAAAGAAGAAACACTTCTTCCTATTGTTAAATAAAGTCTCCGCTTTTAGCACCTCAAACACAGCACGCAGATGTTCAAAGTGGGTAGCCCAACATGATCTCTTACGCATGCATATGATGTGATATGCTACAACATGTATGATGATATGAATCGTATGATATAAACAATTTGTAAATAATATGAATATGTAATCATACATTAATTTATTTGGGTGAAACATGTTAAAAATATCATTTAAATAAGCTACGGTGTAACACCCGCCTTCCGTGGACCCGGTTCACCCACGACCCGACGGACCAGTGGGGTTACATGGGCGGTCCGAGAACCGTCCGTAAGGTAAAACATTAATGATTATTTAATAAGAAAAGGGTTGGGTTTAATTGGCGAAATAGATGCTAGGAAGTTATTCCCAAAACGTGTGTGATAAAGTACAGAGTAAATGTGGAAGTAAATAAATAAGTCCAGTCCAGATTAAATAACGACAAGAGTGGGTTCATGCCCAATTGATTAATTAAGTAAATGAAAATAAGTATGAGCTCATCCGTGCGCCGTCCATCTCCCCATCGTCACTACTCTCCAGGGTTGGCACCTGCACCGTCATGTTTACCTGCGTGTAGC